ATCTTTACTTCCTGTGCTCATTAGATCAACCTGATTCAGGTGTTTTCTTTCTTAGCTGAGTCACCATAAATCAGAAGGTTTTGGGTTTTTCACAGGGGATCTTATTCTAAAGCAGACGTATTTAATGTTGAAGCAGAAACCAGAACCTTCAGCAGAATAAGAGTGATGTCTCAGTTTGTGACGTGTTAGTTTTATCCTTTGGGAGTAGGACCATCCTACGAGACTTTTATAGTTTTATCTGATCAGAGCAGCAGGTTTTTGTCTGAAACGCTTTGTAGTCATGAAAGAGGAGATCGCTGCTGCTGTGTTCTTCATGACCCGGCTGGTGAAGAGGTACGGAGGTCTGGACAACGACAGCAGGGACCGGTTCGCTGCTGCTCTTACCTCAGTTCTGTTTGAGAGCTACAAGAACCACTGGCACCCAAACACACCTTCAAAGGGGCAGGCTTACAGGTGAGTACCCTGGCCTGCAGGTGAGGGTCCTGGCCTGCAGAACAGAAAAGTTCTGGTGAAATCTGGATTTGTGGTTTTGAGCACTACCTGTTTGGTTTCCTCTCCATGTTTCAGGTGCCTTCGTGTGAACCGGATCCAGCTGCTGGACCCGGTTCTGCAGCAGGCCTGTGAGCAGAGTGCGGTGCGGTATGATGATCTAGGTCTTCCTCAGGAGATCACGGTGTGGGTGGATCCTGGAGAGGTGTCCTGCAGGTTGGTTCAATTGGATCAGAATCAGATCTGAAACAGTCAGAGTCCGACTCTCCCTGTCTCATAAATGCAGGGGTTGGGGCTTTTATTGTGAAATACAATATTTAAGTCCTAATGAACAATAATTGCAGCTCGGGTTTTTTCTTTGTGAAGTCCAACTGGGTTGAATAGCTTAAATAATCAGAATAGATCAGATTGATATTTCATATTTATATTTAATATCCCATCTTATTGATCATTTAATGGATTTGTAGTCAATCCTTTATGCTACAGTTGTCTTCAGCAGGCTGGAGGCCTGATGGGAAGGCCTCTCAGCCACAAATGCACCAAACCTCAGCTCAGTGTCTGTAAAACGAACCGGGTCGGAACCATTTTTGTTGGCTAATGTTGGTGCCAAAATGGCAGCCATCTTGGACTGGCCTGACTTAAGTTTTAATTGGCCTTAAAAAGTTAGAAGTTTTATTTTGTAGTGGAAGTTGGTCTGACTGATCTTAGAAGGTTCCCATAAACCCAACTGGAGCAGTGACACACGGAACCGGGCCTTCGAGCTCTAGTCTCAAATCTCAGCGCTGCGGCCTTGGTGGCTCTTTGATGTCCTGACTGGAAACTGGCTCGCATTTAAGATGTTTACCTGTTGTCCCGTGCATGTTTTAGTCTCTGAATCGATTTGATGTGGTCTGCAGAAGTACAGCTAGTAGAAGCTAACTGTTAGCATTAGCAACTCCACCACAGAGCAGAGCTCCTCCAGACTTGTTGTTTGTGGAGATAAAACACGAACGGTACTGTTAAGTTGCTTTATCCAATCAGAGGTGAGGTGTCTGAATATCATGAAGATCAATGAGCAAGGCTCTGAATCCTGCCTTCTCCCACCTGCTCTGCTTCTGCCTCCTGAAGCGGGATTGGTATAGCTTATTCTCTACAGACAACGGCTCGAGGCATTTATTCAGCCCAGAGCAGATTTATTGAAATGACATGCAGGGCTGCTTTAAAAACAATGTTTACCTGCTTAAATGGTTGGGGGCTTTTTGGTTTGATTTAGGGAAACTCCTTTGCCGTTTTTCCTGATGAGGAATTCCCCCAGCAGCGGTTTTAACTGAATTATTTCTGTGGTCTGAAGATATGGAGAGCAGAGTGCCCCATTCTGCGTCTTGGCTGTGGGTAGCTGCCGTCGAGATGGGGAGTTTTCCCGCCGTATCCATGACGCTGTGGAGCGTGCGAGCCTTGCCGTCCAATCAGGAAGCTCCTCGGACGAAGAGGAGGGAGTCGCAGAGATGACGAGCAGGACCCATCAGATCTCGTCAGCACAGGGCCCTGCTCAGGTTCCCCCAGTGGGTCTGGAGCCCAAAACCATCCCGACTGTCAGCAACCCTAACAGTGTTTACCGGGTGGGTCTGGGTCCAGAACCACGATTCTGATGTGTAGAACATGTTGGAACTGTACATCTGTAAAGGTTTTGTCCTAGAACATCTTCTGAAGTCTGTTTGGATCCTGATATGGTTCTCCTCCTGTTCACAGTTCAGTGAGTTTTCTCCCGGCGCTCCTCAGACCTGGCTGAGGGACAAGAGGAAGGCCTTCCTCGCGGAGTCCTTCCAGTCCGGACCTCCGCCACCTCCATTCTCCACCCAGAAGGGTTTTAAGTCCTACAGGGCCGTGTTCACCTTCACAGGCCCTCGTGTTGACAAGTACCACTGGGTCAGCAAGACCCGGTCTTGAACAAAACCACTTCCTGCTTGAGATGGAGCCCAGAGAACTTTAGAGGTTATTATAGTTGAAACAGAATTTTACCGTTTCAGCATCTTTTAATCAAACTTATTTTAACTTATTTCTAAATGTTTTAACCAAAAATAAACAATGTGAATAAAGTCAGACTGAACTTTCATTGAAATCAACGTGTCGGTCCTGGTTTGTGTGTTTTTGCTTGAACTGAGTCAGAAGTGATAAACGGGAACAGTTGGCGAGCTCCACTCCAACAGTCGGGTCAGCTTACAGCAGGTCCTACATGTCTGGTTCTAAACCACCAACGTTGGTTCCTTCTGGTGTAGCAAAGCCACAAAGTTCTGTTTACCTGAGCTGCCATATTGGGCTTTTGGGGTTGGAGATATGGATATTGAGCTGGAAGCCACGCCCACAAAGAGCACCTCGGCCTATAATAAAAAATGCCCCCCCCCCCCCCCCCCCCCCTGCAGTGAAATCCACAAATGTAAAGATAACAAAACTCAGAAAACAAAGATCAGTATTCTATAACCAGGAGAGGCGGTTCTGGGGAAGCTCCCATGAGAGCCGTGGAGCTCCAGCCGACCCAAGCCTGGTGTGTGAGCGGCTGGCCGCTTTTGGGATACGTGGATTTGTGAGAACCGTTTTGCTTTACGTTTCAGCAGTGGCGCGCCGTTTGAGGTTCCTACATCCTCGTAAACACCGGTGTGAAAAGGCAGGAAGTACATCATTTTTTTAAATATGACAGTTTATTTTAATGTAAATTTTTCTTCAAATACTTGTAATAGTTTATACATCATAAAAAAAACTAACTGAAATTTTTTAAGCTGTTTGTTTTCAAAAACTCTGAATCTGCGTTCATGAACTTGAAATCTCATGGAAACTACGTCATATTCATGCGACATTTCAGCTGTTTGTTTTTTTTACTTTATTGAAAGATGTAGCATGTACAACACGAGTAAGGAAGCATACTGAATTTAACAAAGGTTCACATTAATGAGATGGTGAAGCAAAACCGATTGCTTTTAAACAAAAAACAAAATAAAAAATCAGGAGCAAAAAACAAACAATGCTTTGGTACAGTCAGGCATATTCAAAACAGTAGGTGTTTTAAGGCTTTTTGATACAATGAGGAGGTTTTTGTTTTCGTATCCGAGATTAATTGAAGTGACTTGAAATATTGGCAAAAGTAGTTTAAGAAAACAGTAAACATAGGAGCGCTATTTTTCCATTTACACAAGTGTATAAAATGTTTACATAGGATAACAAAATTAATAACATCTAAGATTTCGGGATCTAAATTATCCATAAAAAAGAGAATATCTTTATGTAAAGGAAGGCACATGAAACATTCTCAGTGAAATCCAACTGTGGATGTCAGACCAAAAATTATTGACAGGTTGGAAAAAAAAAAGTGTTCCAATTTTTCTTGACTTGTGTTACAAAAAACACATGGATTGGGTTCAAAATCAAATCTTTTATGCAGGAACTCATTAACAGGGTAGATTTCAGATATAATCCTAATTTGTGTTTCTTTCATCTTCGTTGTGAGTGGATATTTTATATAATAGGAGAATGTTTTCTTTTTGAAAGTGCTATCGAGGTCTTGTCTAACATTAATATTGTAATTACAGAACTTTTTTGTTTGAAAATTTGAGAGACTAATTTATTGTTGCATTTTTTGTCTTTTAGTGGGATGTTATCTAGTATCAGTGATGTAACATTGTTCTAATTGCTGAGTATTTTAAGGTGTTCTGAACAAGATGTAGCAGAGCTTTTGGGATGGCTTTACAGACCTTGTTATGAGTAAGGTATGAGACCCTTATTTTATGTTTCTCCATAAATTCATCATGCGATAGCAGCAAGTCATTCGCATGTAGTAAGTAAGTCATGAATAAAATATATACCGTTATCATGCCAGTCTGATTTAAACAAGGATTTTTTGTTGATTGTTATAACTATTGTTCCACAATAAGGAATTGTGCGGTGAAAAGTTGTGAGTAAAAAGTAACTTCCTGTAGTTCAATGCTTCCTTATAAAAGTTGGATAATTTCAGAGGGATTTTGGATAAAACAAAATCACATTTGAGCAAAAACTCCAAACCTCCGACCCTACTGAAAAGTTTATAAGAAATGTAGTATCACAGATTGTGGATAAGAAATGCAATCTTTTATCCATTTAATTCTGAACGCAGCAATTATGGATTCAAAGTCTAGAACTTTTAAACCTCCATTTACATATTCTTTAACTAATTTTTATTTACGAATACAGCGAGTTTTATTTTTTCCAAATAAAATTAAATATAATAGAGTTGGACTGTTTAGTTATCTTTGGAGATGTAAATATTGAATAACAAGGGAATATGAGTCTTGACAGACCTTCAGCTTTGGATAGCAAAATACGGCCTAAAATGGATAGATCACATGTTAGCCAATGATTTAGTGTTTTTTTAACTGGGAATTAGGTTATTATCTTCTCGATCTTTGACATTTTTACAGATTATCAGGCCAAGGTATTTAACCTCCTCTTTCACTGGAATATTATTAATAAGGCTTAGTTTGCAACTGTGTATAGCAAGGATTTCACACTTTTTAAGATTGTTAAGCCTGATGCTTTTGAAAAGGAATGGACTTTGTCTATTGTAATAGGGATCATGTTTTGGTTTTTAAGAAATAGGGTCGTATCGTCTGCAAACTGACTGATCTTAAATTCTTTCTCTAGAATGTTTATTCCTTTTAAATCTGGAGAGCATTTTTTGTATATGGCCAACATTTCAGCTGCAATTATAAACAACAAGGGGCTAATAGGGCAGCCCTGTCGAATTCCACGATTGATGCAAAAACTATTGGAAAAACCTTGGTTGAGTGCTACACTGCTTGTAATATCTCTGTACAACATTCTCATTATACTACAGAATCTAGGACCAAAACCTACGGCTTCGAGAACTTTAAATAAAAAAATATGTTCCAAAGAATCAAAGGCCTTAAAACAGTCCAAAAAAAGAAGAAGACTATCATGGGGAATTAAAAAATCATGATCCAAGATATCTAACACTAGACGAGTATGGTTGTGGATTTGGCGCCCTTTTATAAAAGCTGACTGTGTCTCATCTATTATTTGAGTTATTCCCGTTTTTAATCTGTTGGCATAAACGTGGGCTAATAATTTGTAATCACAGCAGAGAAGTGTAATTGGCCTCCAGCTATCCAATAACAGAGAATCTTTATTTGGTTTAGGAAGTAAGAGAGATTATACCTTGTTTCATGGTTGGGGACAACGTCTGGCCACTAATACGTTGATTAAATGCCTCCAATAATAATTCTCTCATATCATCCCAGAAATATCTATAGAATTCTATTGTGATCCCATCAGAACCTGGTGATTTACCACTGGCCATTTGAGAGACAGCTGTGTCCAGCTCAGCTAAGGTGATTTCAGATTCGTTCAAATCTTTAAAATCGGAGTCAATTTTGGGGATTTTATCTTGTATATCACTAAAAAGGTGGGTAGACTCTAGGCTGGAATAGTTAGTAGTGTAAAGAGTTGAATAAAAATCTGTAATATAGTTATTTATAGTATGTTGGTCTTCAGTAAAGGTATTATTAATTTTTAACTTGGTTATAGATTTTTTTGTTTGCCTGTTTTTTTCTAAGTTAAAAAAATAGGTAGAATTCTTTTCCCCCTCCTCGATCCATTTAGCCCTTGAGCGGATAAAAGCACCTTTTGCTCTATTTGTATATAGTTTGTCTAGCGTGAGTTGCAAATTGGTTTAATTCTCTAGAATTTTCCTCTGTAAATTGTGTTAAGCTACACGGTAAACTTATTCTAGAGATCATTTCAGCCTGATGTTTTTTCCCTTATATTGGCCATTCGTTTTCCTTCTTCAATTGATATTTTTCTGATGTTGAACTTTAGCCATTCCCATGATGAATCACTCATAGTCTTCACCTCACATATAAGGGATATAATTTTACTGCAGAATGAAGACTTTTTTAGGAGGTTGCTGTTAAATTTCCAGTAAGAAGATTTCCATTCTGGTGCTCTGTTATCAGGAAAAATTGAAAGTATTATTGCACAATGGTCAGAGGGGAATTAATGATCATACATCTTGACACTAGGGGAAATAGAGGGCAGGCAAAATCCATTATTATCTGGTTAAGATGGAGAGAGTTATAGTTACTAGGGAATCTATCCTGTTTTTCATCTGGAACCGTATTGAAGTCTCCTCCAATAATCACTCTGTCTGTTGAGTAAACGATCTTCCATTTTTCTATCATATTTTTCAGAGTGGAAATTAAATTCAGGTTTTGATTCCTGTTATTGAATCCATAGACATTGACTAAAATGTATTTATAATCATCCATCTCTATACTAATCATTACAATGACCTTCCTTGTCACTTTTATGATCAATTATTTTGCCACTGAAGCGATTTAGAAAAACAGCAACTCCTGCTGAATGGGAGGAACCATGAGATAAGAAAATGTCACCGCTACCCCACTGAGTTCTCCAGAAAGTATTGTCATCTGCACTGCTGTGTGTTTCTTGACAGAAAAAAAGTTAACATTAGGTTGCTCCTTACAAAAAAAGAAAAATTGCTTTGCGCTTTATGCCGTTTTTAAAACCTCGAACATTTAAAGACAGTAATGAAAGAACCATAGAATATAGCTTAAGAGTGTTACTCAACTAAAGTAGGGCAAAAAATAAATCCCCCAAAAAACATTTAACCTTCTTCTAATTATAATTCTATTTCAAGTCAAGCATTCAAAATTTCTGAACGAGTTATTACAATGAAATGCAGTTCTCCATATAATAATTCAGAATAATTGCACCTTTTGGTCCAGGTAGTAAAAGAGGTGAAGTAAAGTTTTTTCATTCCGTAATTTGATGACCGTCAATGACGGCGTGGCCGTCTCTGAGGATAGCTTTAAGCCCCCTCCTTCTTGCCTCTTCCACCCTTGGCCAGACGTTTGCGGGCTTCTCTGCCTTCCTTACAGAAGTCCTCTCTGAACCTGATTTTCGTTTCCTTGCAGAGTTTGGCGTCCTTGGACATCTTCCACACTAGGTCTCGGGACAGTTCTCATGGCAAACTGTATGGTGATCGGCCTGGGTTTGTCCCCGGTGGCGGGTCTCCCCTTCTGGCCCAGCCGTTGCACTGTGTCCACAGTATTATGCAGCTGCTCATCATTTGCGGGAATAATCTTACTTAGAATCTTGAAAACTTCATCCCTTGCGTTTTCGCCCTCTTTCTCAGGAACACCAGTAAGCAACAGTGACCATCTTCGTTTATATCTCGCATCTACATCTCCCGAAGCGCCTTGTTCTCTTTTTTGAACATTTTCATCTGTAGTTTAATACGTTTCACATCTTCCACCACACTTTTGACAGCTTCTGTGTTGGCATCAACACACTCCTTCATTTTTATTTACAGTGTCTGTATTTTCTTGTAGCTGGAATTCGTAACTCTTTAGATGTTCACTTTGGGTATCAAATTTACACATCAGTTTTTGGATCGCATCGAGAAGGACTGTGTCAGAAACTTCCTTCTGCGTCTGGTTGGTCTTCATTTTCTTCGGATTTGGGCTTTTCACAGGTGTGTGATGGCGATCAGCTTGTGACTTATCTGTCTGTATGTCGAGCTTTTGCTCCATCAATTCAATATCTTCGTCGTAGCATGCCTGCTGTGGAGCCGCTAGGTGGTAGCCGTGGTCTTTGCTAATGTTAGCCATGATGCTGCTAGGCGAAATAGCGATCAAAAAAGCGTCCAAAAGAAGCTCTGGAGGAGAGGACCTTAAAGTGTAGAGATAGAATATAACTCAGTAGCTAGTAGATCCGTGTATCTTGACTGACACCTAATCATAAGAAGGTTAATTTCAACTACAGTTGGCTACAGCTTGTAGCACGACCTCCTCACAGAGCCCACTAAGTTAAACCGATCGCTCCGCCATCTTCCCAGAATCCACCGGCAGGAAGTACATCTGCCTGCTGGGTACGCCTTCGTTGCGCTGGGGGGCAGCAGCCAATCACGTAGTGTCTTTAATTTTCAAAGTCAGACTCTGATCCAATCACAGACGTTGTCTTTACAGTCTTACCCACAGCAAAGTCACATCCGGTCGTATAAATGTTGCCACGAGTTAGCCGTGCAATTTGGAGTGTCCATTTTGAGCAGCGGCTCGTTATCCCGGTTTATTTACTCACGGTAAGGGTCGCGGTTGCGTTAGATTACGGCGGTGGGATATTTAGGAACAGGTTATGTTTTGCGGGTGTTATTTTTCCGCCATGTTTGTTCTCGGTGGCCTGTTTTTAATCTGCGCGCTGTTTTCGTATATCGCGTTAGCTGCGTGTTAGCCGCAGGGAGCTAACGTAAAGATGGGTTGAATGCTGAATGAAAAAGTTCCACGCGCCAACGCGCATAGCTAAGCCGTAGGTGCGCATCGTTCCTACGTTAACAATTATTACTGTGGTAGCTGTGAGCTGGTTTGGGGGTTTGGTGTTGTGTTTTAGGGGTGAGTAGCTCGTTTTGAGGCCTGCTTCTTGTCCGGGGCGCTAACGGAGCGAAGCGCGGTCCGCTTAAACATGGAGACCGAACCGGTTTGCGGCTTTGTCTGCGCCAGCAGCTGGACCTCAAACGGGGTTGGCGATGTTTATGATTCTTTAATGCTCAAAAGCTTTTTATTTGATGCTACTCTATTACAATTCCTTTCCCTGTAGGTATCTAGATCACTCTAAGACGTACTACGTTCCGAAACATCAGTCCATGAATCAATATATCCGGATGAAAACATGCTGCAGCTGTTGCAAATTCTTAAAAACATTTAATCTGAGACTCGTATCGCATATATCTGATATTTCTGAATTTATTATGAAATTTGATGACATCCTGACTGAAGATAATACAAAACAATTTAGTGTTTTTGTTTTTGCCAGACGTCTGTGTGAAGATTAAGCGATTTTAAAGGTTTCAAGCGTTGATTTTAAACAGTTTGACTGAAAATCATCATTGATGCCCCCTGAGATGAGATAAACCCCCATCAATAGATATTTTATTTCTAATAGTTTATTTATTTCAGCTGGGCTAAACTCGGTGGTCGTTTAGGGGAGATTTCCAGGTTGAATTTAACACCAACAAAACATGGTTTATATATATATATATATAATATAGTTAAATGATTTTGACCAAATGTTTTGTGAACTAAAAAAACCTTTGTACATTTAAGCAAACTGCATTTATTAGTAATTATATCTGTATTTTCTTAAATCTTTCCACTAAAAGTTTTAAGCTCTTTATTTACACAATAAGTCATTCTAATCTGTGATTTTAAAAGTGAACGTCAGGTTCATGTTAAGGGTTTAAATGACCAAAATGAAACCTTTTCCGGCTGCATCCTCTAAAGTTTTCTCTCGGACCTTCTCAGTATCTCAGAAAACTTCAGACAGAATGTCGGACGCTGAGAATCTGCTCATGGAGACGTCGGAGCAGAACGGAAATGAGGGAGAGGAGGACCAGAACGGAGCCGATCAGCAGGAGCTGATGGGAGGTGACGACAGCCAAGATGGAACAGATGGAGGGAAGATTGATGCCAGCAAAGGAGAGGAGGATGCTGGGTGAGCTGGCCCACATATTTGTGGTTTTATTTAACATTAATGTGGTTTAAGTCGAGGTGATTAACTCTTGACGGCTTTGGATCGAGTCGTTTAAACTTTACGTTGTCTCTGATTTGCAGTAAAATGTTTGTTGGCGGCCTGAGCTGGGACACAAGTAAAAAGGACCTGAAGGATTACTTCAGTAAGTTCGGCGAGGTGTCTGACTGCACCATAAAAATGGACTCCAACACCGGCCGATCCCGAGGCTTTGGCTTTGTGCTCTTCAAAGACTCGTCCAGCGTGGATAAGGTGAGCGTTTGGTGGGCAGACAGCGTTTGGGTTGGGTAGAGCCAATAACGGGAATGTGGTTGCGTCTGCAGGTTCTGGAGCAGAAAGATCACCGGCTGGACGGTCGTCAGATCGACCCAAAGAGAGCCATGGCCATGAAGAAGGAGCCCGTCAAGAAGATCTTCGTCGGGGGGTTGAATCCAGAAGCAACAGAGGCTTCAATTAGGGAATATTTTGGCACTTTTGGGGAGGTCAGTGAAGAAAACCGCCTAACTGGGCGGCCGAGGTGGTGGTAATGGTTTGTGACCAGTTTGATGATCTCGGTCTCCTTCTTCCAGATTGAAGCTATCGAGCTCCCCATCGACCCAAAGTCAAAGAAGAGGAGGGGTTTCATCTTCATCACGTACAAAGATGAAGCCGGTGTGAAGAAGTGTTTGGAGAAGAAGTACCACACCATCCAGGGTGGCAGGGTGCGTTTCCATAGCAACCCATTCAGCGCTCTGGTTGTGGCGTCAGCATTAAGTGTTGGTTTCCTCCACAGTGTGAGCTGAAGATCGCCCAGCCCAAGGAGGTCTACCAGCAGCAGCAGTACGGAGGCGGGCGTGGGGGGGGTTACGGAGGAGGTCGGGGGGGTCGAGGCCGTGGAGGTGAGGATGCTGCTGCTTCCACCTGTAACGAGTTTTCAGCAGCGCTTCAGAGAAACAACGCTGGAAACTCGTGGATCATTTTTAACAGTTTGGTTTCTGTCGGTTCGACTCGAATGACAAGAAGCGTGTCTCTCAGGTCCGAGTCAGGGCTGGAACCAGGGCTACGGAAACTACTGGAACCAGGGCTACGGCAGCCAAGGCTACGGCTACGGTGGATACGGCGGCTACGGAAACTACGACTACTCTGGATACTACGGATACGGCCCTGGATACGACTACAGTAAATCCACCACAAACTTCATTTTAGTTCATTTTTCAAGCTCATGCTGAGAATTAAGATTGTTCCAAATGACTCGTTTTCCACGCGACCGTCACACCTTGCCCGCATCGTGATGAATCTGTGAGTCTTTACGTGTTTACCTGAAATCAAAAGAGGGAGGTGTTATTGGTTTTATTTCATTCAGATGTAAAAGAAAAGTCTTCATCATTTAGATTTTAGTCTCGGCTGTGTCTAAGAATGGAGGAGGGGTCAGCTGGGTCCGCACTCCCGGCGTGCTGCTGGGGTTAACTACACCAGCGCTGTAAACCCCGCCCACCAATCATTAAACCCAAAGAAAATGTTCACTTTTCCTCTTTTGAGTTTGGTTTTCAGTGAGCATGAAACGGATTCGGTTATCGTCTTCTGCTGATGCGCACCTCCTCCTAACATGAGTAAAAGTGGCAGGAGGACAAAACACACTGGTGTGCAGTGATGTTTGATTTTCTAACAATGGCAGCTGTTCTCTGCTTGTATAGCAGTGTTTTCTTCATGAGTCGATGTTTGTGTGGGATGAGATCATTTAGTTTTACTAAACGTGTTTTTGTGGAAGATTAAAAACAAACGCGGTTGGTTTGTAATGCAGTCGGCTTCTGAAAACCAGCCTTGTTACAGAACCTTATTCATGAAGAGACCCGATCATTCGGGAGACTGCTGTGTGAGGTTCTGGGCCGTTCTGACCCCTGACCCAAAGCAGAGGGCCAGTTTAACCTGGATTTGTTCTGCTTTCCTGCAGCAGACCAGGCAAGTGCCAGCTACGGAAAGACCCCGAGACGGGGGGCACACCAGACCGGCTACAAGCCTTACTGATGACCACCTGGCAGCATAAGGTCTGTAGCTCCACGGTTCTGATCGCAGGTTTTGCTGAAAGCTGTTCCATGACCGATGTCCCCCCCCCCCCCCCCCCCCAGGACTCGTCTGGTCTGGTGAGACCTGCGGCTGGACGGACACACTGGGCCACTCCAGACCTCTTTTATGACAGAAGACCATTTGTACAGAAAACACCTGAAATGTAACTTTTCCATGTTGTTTTTGTTTTTTTAGCCTCTGATTTTTAAGTTTTCCCTTTCTTTGCTCTTGCCCTCCACATTTCCACAGGAAGTGTCAATTTTACTGTACTTTTTGGTACCCGTTGATTCTAATGTATTGTAAGGGTTGTATTTTACATGTTGGCTGGCTTTACAGGATGAAAATCGTGGAGCTGTAAAGGAGCTTTTTTGACAAATAAAGCAGTTTTCAGTAGTTTTTTTTTTTTTTTTTTTCCCTGATGCTTACAGGTCTCCGGGGTGGAGGATGGGATTAGGTTTAAAGGTCATCTGAGTTTGTTTTTCTGCCAGATTAAACGACATCACCACCAGTGAGCTGAACATCTGTAGGCCTACAGGTGTGAGGGATGTGACGTAGCGGGTGTCTCTGTTAAAATATTTAAGTACTGCTGATTTTAAAATGTCTGTTTTGGATTTTGCTTTGTTTTGAACAGACCTAATTTTGCCAGTGTAGTCTCCTTGGCCAGCGTCTCTGGCGTTTATTAGTAATAAACATTCACGTTTGTTAAAGTCTTTGTATTTTTTAATGTTTAAAACCACCTGCTATTGAAACCAAACTCAAATATCAAGATGTTAAAGATAATTTAAATACAAATACTTGAGCTATTTCTGGATCATGGGGGGGGGGGAGTTCATCATCCATCCACTTTAAGTTGTTTATCTGGAGTCGGGTCGTGGAGGTAGCAGCCTAAGCAGGGGGGCCCAGACTTCCATTGGGCCAGCTCCTCCGGGGGAATTCCAAGGAGTTCCCTGTCCAGCTGAGAGACAGTCACTCCAATGTGTCCTGGGTCTTCCTTTAGGTCTTCTCCTGGTTGGATATGCCTGGAAAACCTCACCAGTGAGGCGCCTAGGTGGCATCCTGACTAGATGCCCGAGCCACCTCAACTGTCTGGATCTTGTTCTTTCGGTAACTGCCCAAAGCTCGTGACCATAGGTGAGGGTAGGAACGTAGATCGACCTGGAGCTTTACCTTCTGGCTCAGCTCTTTTCACCATGACACACCGGTACAACGCCCGCAGCACCAGTCCGCCTTCCGGAGAAGGCATTCTACCCTTTTCCGACTCAAGACCATGGTCTCCGATTTAGAGGAGCTGATTCTCATCCCAGCTTCTTCACACACTGCTGTGGACCGCTCCAGCAAAAGCTGGAGATCACGTTCTGATGAATCCAGCAGGACCACATCTGCAAAAAGCAGAGACCTGATCCTCAGGCCACCAAAACGGGTCCTCCACACCTTGGCTGCTCCTAGAGATCCTGTCCATAGTTGTACACAGGAGGTTAATTAAACCAGGGTAGATGTGTGTGTGTGTATATATACATACACACAGTACAGGCCAAACGTTTGGACACACCTCATTCACAGGGGTGCCTCCAGAAAATTTTGATGGGGTGGCTAGATGAGGCCAAAGAAATTTTTGGGCGACACCAAACTGGTCCTTGTGGGAACTCCAGGAGAGTTTAGCCTGTGGCGATGTATTGTATTGCTCCTTTATTTGTTTTTATTAAAAAAAAAACGTACGTATCCAAAATATTTAACTTAATATTTACAAGCACAAGCAATTCAGAATAATACATCTGAAAAGGTTATTTCTAAAATGTATTAGTTTAATTCACATGTTGCTGGTGTTCACAAAAAACTATGGAGATAAAAACGTTTTTAAAAGGGTGAGCAACAGAAACATGTTTATTCTGATTATTTACTCATTAATTTTATTATTTTTATTGTGTTTTACAATTATGTTTAGAAAAAAAAAGATCAATTTATGTTTGAGTGAACATTAATATGATTAATTGACACTGGCTTTTGCTGTGGGGGTGGGGGGGGGGGTGGTTTGGGGTGGCCATGGCCACCCCTTGGGGGCGCCATTGCACATTAATTGTGTTGTCTTCATCTTCATGACCCGTTTACATTGGTAGATTCTCACCAAAGGCATCAAAACTATGGATGAACACATGAGGAGTTATGTACTTAAAGGTGGAATAACTGAAAACATGTTTTATTCTCTAGTTTCATCGGAAAGCCGCCCTTTGCAAACTCTTGGTATTCTCTGATGAGCTTCAAGAGGAAGTCCTTCAAGACTTATGTAAACCATTTCAGGTGCCTAAACGCAGTATAAACATAACAATGTTGGTTTTACGTTAGCCGGATGTTTTTACTGTCTTTAATCTGCTGTAGGCTATTTTAAACAAGATTATTTATCAAAGCGTTTTCTCGCCACATATTAATTATTGGATCAAGTGGTGTAAAAGTCGGAAATGAAAAGTGAAATAAGATTAAAGAGGAAACACAAGCCAGTGTGGAGCCACTAGATGGCGCTGGCCGCGTCATTATTCAGGTAAATCAGGCACCTGTTCCTTTGCTGCCTGTTAATCCAGGATTAGGGAGCGCTGGCCTGCGTCATGAGGGATCGTCATCTATGCTTAGATGTTGGACTGGGCACCTGGAGCTCACCTGGGATCAGACCCTGGTAAAAACCACCATCCAGACCGGGATGCTGTTAAATAATGACCCAAAACCAGCACGTAGTAATGTTTTAATTTTAAACATCACAAAGTCTCCCTCAGTTCTGGAAACGAAGCCTAAATCTCAGCGATTGCCGGAAGGGTCGTGACCTTTAACCTTTTGTATTTCCTACATGAGATGCGACAGCCAGATGATTGGAAGGACGCCAAACTTTCACCCAGTCTCGCGCCTTCAGGGTGTTGAGGGTTCTTATCAGAGTCTGTCTCTTTGTCCTCGGTCCACTTGCTGGTGAAGTCGACCCGTTTGGTTCTGGACTCCCGGAGTCGATTCTCAGCCGTGTTTCCCTCAGGGCCGGATGAAACCTGCCATCTCCTATCTCCATCCCACAATCCCTCACGGACGAGTCGGGCCGCGGTCAGGAAGGAGTCAGTCTGAGTTTGTTCTGAGGCCAGACCAGAACCAGCGGCGAGGTTCTCCGACCTGCTGCTAAATGCCATCATCAGAAGGTGTGGAAGAACTGGAGCAGATCAAACAGACAGGTGTTGGAAAAAGTTCTGGACTCGCAGAACTTAAATGGACCTACTTTATATGAGCAGAACCAGGCTGAGACAGGAACTCCCCGTCGCATCATTAATAAAGCAAAACGACACAGGAAGTAAAGATAACCACAAGCCCTTCATAATAAAAGACAAATCAGGTCTCGTTGATGGGCTGAAGCGGTGCTGTACTCACCTGCTTCCTGTTGGGTCGGCTCAGTTTGGACCTGCTAAGCAGCGGCGGCTCGTGCTGACCGGGCTTGGACTGTGAACTCTGCAGAACTTTGGTTCTCCGGGATGTTTGCTCCAATCAGACGTTTCCTCCTGAGTTCAGCAGGTTCGTCGGCTGTAGCAGCAGCAGGACGTCTGCTGGACATCAGCCCCACGCGTGTCTGACAGAGAAAGAAGTCCGGTTCAGGACCGGTCGGGTTCTGATGAAACTCCCAGGAGGATGAACGTGGATCTTTGTTTGCTGTTTCCCTCCAGGTGTTGTAACGCTTCTGCACATGCCTCTCACATGTCCACCGACCAGAGGCTGACCCACTTCTCTCTGGGTGAAAGTTCAGCTGGAGAGCACTCGGGTCGGTTCTGATCGGGTCTCTTTTGAAGTTTCTGTGGAAACACGAAAGTCATTTCACCTCACGAATCACAACATTTAACTTTTGAGTTCTAACGAAAGTAAAATGGTGATCTAAATCCTCACAGCCGGGTGGACAGTTCAGGATTACTCAGATTATAATCTGGAGGTTTTATTTAAACACTGAAGTGGCCACAACACAGATTAGTGTTTGATTAAAGGAAACTTCTGTAGGAGTTCATGTAAGATGATAAAAATATAGAGTGAAACAGAAATGGGGCGGAATCAGGGACGAAATTTTGATTTCAGAAGTGGGGGGGACACAGCAGGCTTGTGCGGATTTGGGGTGGGGGGTGTTATGTAAAGACCCCTTGACACGTCACGTGCCCATCTCAATAATTTTTCCATCCTCATATATATATATATATATATATATATATATATATATCAAAGTTAAAAAATGTACAACTCTATTATTATTTTTATTTATTATCATTATTGAAGTGCAATTTTGGCTGTTGACAATGGATAGGCCATTGTATTTATTGTTTTGGGTCTTTTTTATTGTTTTTGGTGCAACATTTTCTAACAGGGAGTGAGATTCCTTTTTTATTCAATTTTTGTTTGTTATTTTTATTCATTTAGAAGTTCTGGTTCTGGACATTTCAGTGTTAAATGAAGGTTTATTTGTTGCATTTTAAAGGGTGTACTTGCATTATTATGATATATTAACATTATATTAGTGGTTATTTTGGTCTAGATAATGTTGACAATGATATCGTTTATCATCAACAATTTGTTGGACAAAATATCGTCCAGCAAAATTTGTTACTTTCCCAGGCCTAGTCAAAAGTATAAAAATTATTTATACATAAACGGTCCTCCTGAGATCTGGCCGTTTGTTCATTTGCTGTGTTAGAGGACATGCTGAACTAATGTTTTACACATGATCATCACCCTAACATTTGAGTGTATAAAAACATAATAAATATGTTTTTCCCCTTAAAAGTGTTTAAACAGTTGTTGCATTTCAACACACAAAAAATAAATGGAAAAAATAAGATAAATCTAATGAAAAGTGTACATCTTTGACATTAAGCTTAAAAAATCTGATGAAATCTGTTGACGATGATGATACTGTTCATTTTTCAGAGCTTTTTAATGTGAACATATACATTGCAATAGATAAGTTTACAATAAAGTTAAATGATAAAAGTTTTGAAGTTACACTTCTACTACTACTAGTAATAATAATTATGATGATAATAGTAATAATAATAAAACAATAATTATAATAATACGAATAAATTGTGTCTGGGGAGTCAGTTATGTGGAGGAGATGAGTTTGTAAAAGTTAGTTTTGAGTATGTTTGTGAAGGAGGAGGTGAGTCTGAGCTTAATGCAGGGGTGTCACATGTCCAACTTACGTTTTGACTTTGAAAGAAGTCTCTTATATCCACTTTTCGTTTTCTTGACATGCTGCCTCCTGACTGTGCCTAACTACCAAAGACTCACAAATGAACAGTTGTTCAAATGTTATGTAATGGAAGCTGAGCTGAGCTCTGATATTACACAGCGTCTAGTTGACGATGTGACTCAGTACCGGTGTTCCCTAGCGGCTCCAAACTAGCAAAACAACGTGAGCACGTTCGGACTGTTTCCAACTTGAGTGACAGCAGCAACAGCCAATAATACGTTAGCAAGTATCAGCAGAGCCAATAGATTAGCTTTTGGGCGGGTCTAATAGGAAACCGGTTTCCGTTTCGGTCCTAGTGCTCAACCAAATCCATTTAATGGAGCGTAATATTGTTTTTGGACGGAAAAAAGTGCAGGGGACCAAAACTGCCTTTTGAAAAAGTGGGGGGGACATGTCTCACCCGCCCCCCCCCCCCAAAATTACGTCCCAGGGCGGAATGGCTCTTCTGTTGCCTAG